TTATTCATTGTGCAAGTATTTTTATTAAATTTATTGGGGTGACATTGGTTAATAAGATTATATAGGTTTCAACTGTACATTTCTACATGACTCTGTATATTGCATTGTGTGCCCAACACCCCAAGTCATCTTTCCGAGCCTCAGTTTTTTTATCTACAAAACGGAGGTGATTATTTGCCACATGGTAATGTGAGGAATAACTAAATCAGTATTTACAAAATATTGCAGTGCTTTTGTTCTTATTTTCTAATTGCTTTCCCTGAGGTGTTGGACTTGCAGGGTAATAAAGAGACTTATTTTTTCAACTTTCAGCCCTCATTATACTTTCATTATAATTTTATATTTGGAAAAGTCAGGAAGCCCTCATTTTACCTAGGTGGAACTGAGCTCCCAAGCCAAGCGACTTGGTCAAGACTATTCAGCTAGCAAGAACAGACGGGAACTTCTGATTTTAATCTGAAATGTTGGCCCGAGTTGACAGACGCAGCTCACTCGTTGCCGCTTTATGCATCGCCTGGGGAATCCCGCCTGGACGGGGCCTCTGCTGGCCCCTCGGGGTTGAGAGTGGGGCCAGTGGACGGCGTTTCCTCTTCTCACAAAGCTTGTGGACTCCTGGAAAATACGGACAAGCAAGCAGGCACCTCTAATATAGACTGGTAGGGAAACGCAGTTGAAGAGCAGCTGACCCGGAGCCGGGGTCAGGGACATCTGCAAGGAAGCGACCTTCACGCCAAGGCCAGGGGATGCGTGGACGGTACAGGGCTTCGGAATGAGGAAGGGAGGACTGGGACCAGGATGTGGGCCACAGAGAAGATGCGCGGTTTGTGTTTTACAGATAGAACAACCACCTGGATGCAGGAGGGAGAAGGCTGTGGCGTGAAAACTGGGGGGTCACCCACGTGGGGCTGCAGGGGCGGGGTCCCTTCATCACAGCAGTAAAAGCAGTGTCGGGTAGTTTGCCTTTTTCCTCTGGGCTTAGGCTGGGAAGCGTTAAGATTAGGTTTGCAGTTTAGAAAGATTCCTTTCACGTTGAAAATAAAGAAGAGGGGGAGAGGAATGAGGTACTGAAGTAGCGGAGAGAGGATGGTGCCCAGGAAGGGTAGTAGCCGTGGGGGGGCTGGGGGACATGGGCAAAGACGAATGACAGGCCTGGTGCTAAGTGGATGTGTTTTGGTGCAAGGAGATGGAAGCGTTAAGTTGATAGCCAGGTGCCTGACCTGAGTTACTTGGTTAACCATCCGGGGTGGTGTCTTCATCTGAGTAGGAAATGTAGCCGGGGAGCAGGTCTGGTGTGGAAAAAAGAGAGGTCAGTTTGTTTATGTTGAATTTCAGGTGATGCTGGTGGAAAGCCCACCTGGAGACCCAGGTGTATGGGGAGTGAGGGGGCAGAGATGGGGAGGAAGCTGTGAGGGTGCGTGAGGCCACCTGGTGGGGGATGGGAGGACGCAGGCTCAACGTGGAAAGTGGAGGGTTACTGTCTCTATTTTTATTATTATTTTTTAATCCTCACCTGAGGATATTTTTTCCATTGCTTTTCAGAGAGAGTGGAAGGGAGGGAGGGAGAGATAGAAACACCGATGTGAGAGAGACACATCCATTGGTTGCGCGCCCAGACGGGTGACCAAGCCTGCAGCCGAGGTACGTGCCCTTGGCCGCAATCGAACCCAGGCCCCTTTAGTCGAGGGCCGATGCTCGAACCGCTGAGCCGCACCAGCCAGGGCGGATTACTGTCTTTAAACTGGGGGCTTGAGAAGAAACTCCTAGCGTAGATTTCTTAAACATTTTAAGCACCTTCATTCCGCACGCGTTCAGCTAGTGCTCCCTTCTTTCCATTACCCCCAGTCACACTCTTGTTCTCCTTGTCAAGTCTGGCACCTGTGACAGGACCCGTGCAAGAAATGCAGAAACACAAGAGTCTCTGCTTCGAATCCCCATAGTTGGGTCGAATTGCTCTAAAAGGCCGCTCTTTAAGAATTATCTTCTATTCTTTCGTCATTAGCATGAAATGAAGAAGCCTCGTTCAGTCTTACGTTTTCCATTCTGTGAAGCTAAAAGAATGAAAGTAAAAGCGGAACAGCTTTCTTGAGGGCTTGGGGACGAGGGCCTTGACCACCACCACCACTGCCAAGCGCACTCGGAAGAGGCTTGCTGGAAGCGCTAGCCTTTCGGGGAGCTCAGTTTGAATTCTGGTCCAGTGCTTTCATTTTCTGAGGAAAGCAGAGCTGAGGTTGTTTTCAGGGTTGAGTGACTTGCCCTTTGCCACTCTGCGGGCGCCGTGCGGGTGGCCTTAGCACCCGTGCAGCCCTGACCCCTGGTCCGTGCTCTTCCTGCGTCACGGTGGTGTAGCCTTACGGAGGCATTTCCATGAGTCCCCATCTCCACTATGCTCGCACCACCCCCCAGCACTCTGGGTTACTGAAGGGGACAGAGGAGTAGTAGCAGGGAAAAGAAAACTAAGTGGTGTGCTCCACTGTTCTGGATGCCAAAGGCCTGCTGGCATGTCAGGCTGACAGCGGGCGCCCTGACATTTTCAGGGGACGCTTTGTGTGGTGGTTTATTAAGTCAACATCTCTCTCTGTTGAAGCTGCTTTGGGGCCAGCTGGCGCTCAGTGCCACAGTGGGAATTCGACAGGTCCGTTTCCCTTGTCATTTTGGGTATAATGTCATGTAATTTCGTAATTATACAGTAAGAGAGTTATAGGTAGTAAACAAAAGTTTATTATTGCTTTATGAAAACTGCAGATACTCCCCCAAGGCTAAACTTTTGTTTGGTAAGCCACTTAATGAGGAATTGGGAGACTTGCTTCAGTCGTAGCCCACTTCTTTGACTTCACTAAGTCCTTGGCATTATATTAAAAGCTTCCACTTTATGGATAAAGAAGTCAAAAGGGCTGGTGAAATCTGCTGAGACTTTGGCACTAATAAGGGTTCTGTCTGGTTTGAGGCTCCTGAAGGTTCTGAGTTCCTGGGCGTTTTCATGCCCAGGATCACTCCTGGCCCAGCGTTCTGCTCAGTGCTCCATTGTCTTGTATTCACCTCCTGAGAATATTATCATTCCTCTCCTCCTGCTGAGCCCCTTGCCCCAATTTCCCCCTTTGCAAACCACTTTCCCAAAGTACATGGATGTGTAGCACTCTTCATCAAAGGCTGCTCGGGCAGGGCATGTAGGAGAGGGGAAGACAAAGGAGTGGAGAGCAACTTCAAAACCGAGTTAAATGCTTTATGTATACAAAATGTGCCAGTGTAAGATATTACTCTTATTCATGCTTTGATTGTAATCAAATAAAAAGAGGGACTGTGCAGAGCTGATTAGAATCTACTTGGAATTAACACTGTTCTCTCAGCTAAGTAGCAAAAGAATAAATACTTGATTCATGTGGTAAACTTAGGCAATATAGTAGTTTCTTTTTGTGTCTTTTGTTTAAATGAATCCTTTATATTGATAGATTTTAGCGCAGATAATCAAACTTTCCTAACAGGGAAGTACAACTGAGCTTGGCTAGTCAAGGTAAGTTAATAGTTGTTTTCTTTGTTTCAAGTTATGTAACTGAGATTGGACACATAGAACAATATGTAAATGCATTGGCAAGTGTGTGCTTTTTTTCCCTTCTATTTTACAAAGTGATCTTCCTTTCTCTTTAATTTTAGGAAACAGATATTGATGACAGATATGGAGATTTGGATTGCAGAACAGATTCTGATATTCCAGAAATTCCACCGTCCTCAGATAGAACCCCCGAGATCCTCAAGAAAGCTCTGTCTGGTTTATCTTCAAGGTATGGCTGGATGAAGATGAATATAAGGGGTGCACAAGATAAATTGTGAGGTTGTCCTATTCTGTGCCATTCATTTCACTGTTTCTGAGTTTTGGAGCTCTGAGAGAGAAAGCTCATACTTTTTCATTGTATGTGAGGCACACATGGTACTAGATGCTTAATGTACAGCCTTTCATTTAATCTTTAAAACCTTGAAAAGTCTGAGAAAACCAAATCTGAGAGGTTTCCTAGTGAAGGTTACAGAGCTATTAAGACACGGACCTATCCTTGTCCCAGTTTGTCAGATTTCTGAAGCCAGTGATCTATTTACCACATCAGGTTGCCTTTTCTGGTGGTGGAACATTTAATAAAGAAAATTCTATATTCTTTGTTCCCTGTTCTTCAAATGCCACAGAAATAGGTCACTTTTTTAAGCTGAGTTTTAAATTATTGTTCAAACTCTACAGCCCTTTACCATTTTATATTTGTGCTCTATTTTGAGATGTGTAATCACCACCAAATTTTACCTAATTTTATATTGCCCTCCATTGTATGTTTTAGTAATGTGAGTTACAAAACTTATAAAAGCAAAATAAATGTAAGCTTTTATTTAGATTAATATGTGAAATCTTAAATATCAGTTTGGAACAGTTTTTCCATATTTTTTACTGTGACATGCAGTAAGAGATACATTTTACACCACATCCCAAGAGACACACAAATGTGTATTTTAACTGCTGCAAGAATGTCTTGAAGCAATTCTTGCCATTACTGTGTGATACCCTCTAATTTATTTTCTGTTTAATGCTCTTCTGTTATTGAACAAAATATGTTGGATGTAACCTACTACATTGTTTTTCTACCCATGAGTCATAACAACAGTAAACAATGACTTAGTCCTATCTAGTAAATGTAATAGGAGTTTTTCTCTTTTTAGTTTCTGGGAGATATCCATATTAGAATAAATTGCTTTAAAGCAAATTTTTCATATTTTTTTAACCAATAATTCTTTGTTGGTTATTATTCAGAGAATAATTATTCTTTTAATAGTCTTGATCCCGGTTGTTTTCACGACCTAGTTGACAAATGTACCTTTGCTTTAAAATCTTACCAGTTCTATCTCAGATTTAAAAATTTCTTAGATTGATTTATATAAGAATGATGCCATACTCTCGTATGCATTATTAATAATAATTTCTTAATAGTGAAGGCCATTCCCCCTCCCCCTTGTAAAGCAACAAGAGCAAATGATAGCATCTGATATTTATTGAGCATGTACTGTGTGCCAGGCACTGCTCTAAGCACTGCACACCCATTGACTAGCTTATTCTTACAGCAACCCTGCAACACAGGTACAGTTATGTACCTATTTTACAAATGAGGAAACTGAGGCACAGGAATTTCATGTATCAAGGGGCATGCAGCTAGTAAGCAACAGAACCACATTCTGAACCTGGGCATTGTGCTCTGCTTATGAGAGAATTGCTTTCAGAAAATGAGCAGTAGAGGATATGTGACCAGTTTCATCTTCTCATGAAACTTCACTATAAAGATTACATGAATGTTTCAAAACTGGTATCCTGTTCATTGTAGCCTCTTCAGTACCCCTAATAGTCTGCCTTGCCACGGTTTAGAAGTTATAGACGCATAGGATTAAAAATATTAATTCCATAAGAAGTTTTCATGAATCACAGGGAAAAACCCCTGTAATCCTCCCACCATGACTGGTATTTAAAGTACTGTGGTGTTTACTCTGAAGCTTTTGTGTGTGTGTGTGTGTGTGTGTGTGTGTGTGTGGTATAAAAATAGCATTGTACTATTTCTTGCCTTTCTATTTTCACTTTCATTCTGTGGTATTAGGAACAAATATCCTTAAATATACATAAATATTTTAATGGCTACATGATATATTCCTTTGTATGGCTGTAGTTCAGTTTGCTCAACTTAAACAGCTATCGCTGGGCATTTAGCTGATTTCTGAATTCTCACAATCAAAAACAACTGCATTAAACATTTTTCGTTATAGATAACTTTGATTTAGCATCCATAATTATTTCCTTAGGATAACATCTTAAAAGTGAAATTGCTTGGTCAAGGTTTATGCTCACTTTTGAGGCTCTAATATATAATGTTAGAAAATCTTAAGTTGTTGAAATTGGAAGGGGCCTGAGAGGTCTTCAGTCACTTGGCAGGTTGTCCCAGTCTGTTTCTTGAGCTGTGTGTATGAATGTTCAATAGACTTTTAAGTCTGGCTTTATGAGCCTAACTTAGCAGTTTTCTTCTGGGGGCAGTACCTCGGGTTTCGTCCCCACGCCCGAGCAGACGTTTGGCAATGTCTAGAGACCTTTTTGGTTGTCGCAGTGAGAGATGGTGCTTCTAGCATATAGTGGGTGGAGACCAGGGAGGATGCTCAACGCCCTGCAGTACACGGAACAGCTCTTCACAGCAAAGAATTCTCTGGCACAAAACGAGGCTGGTCCTGAGGCTGAGAAACCAAGGAAACATCTGTGTATCGCCTTACTGGTGCTCGTATGCTCCACACTGCTGTCTTCTCTCCGGGAGCCTGTCCACTTTCTCCAAAAGCTGGTAGATAGACACTCTCAAAACTCCTGCTCTTTGCCTAAATGGCCCGCCAAGTTCTTGTTTATTTTTTATTTTAAAAAATATTTACTTATTGACTGATTTTAAAGAGAGAGGAAGGGAGAGAAACATGGATTTGTTGTTCCACCCATCTGTGCAACTGTTGGTTGATTCTTATGTGTGCCTTGACCGGGGATTCACCCCGCAGCTTTGGTGCATCTGGTCAACACTCTAACCAGCTGAGCTGCCCAGCCAGGGCCAGTTCTTGTTTATCCCTGAGGAGTGCCTCTGTGCCCCAGTTCTTGGCTCAGGTGAGCTGTCTTGTCAGCCCAGATTCTTGATGACTCATGATGTTTTTCGCACTGTTTTTTTTAAAAAAATCTTGTCATTACTTTTGAAATAAAAAACCACTTACTAGTGGTAGTAACAGTAAGTCATCATACATATCCAAATTGATTTGAACACTTTAGATAATCACTTTTAAAAGGATGCTGCTTAATTACATACTTTTTGGAAATCTCATTTCTGGCTCAGATGGGACCTTGAGACATGAAACCTGAATTCACTTCTCTACTGATTCTGAGTTCCTTTTTCCAAAACGATCTGTGAGGTGATGACATGGACTCAAAATCAAGGCTTTCTCTGGTGTGATCATGGAAGCATGGTAAAGGCAATGGAGAGTTTTGAATTCAGAATCAGACTGTCCTCTGGTTTTTAGTAACTGATTTTCTCCCTTCCTTCCTTCCTTCCTTCCTTCCTTCCTTCCTTCCTTCCTTCCTTCCTTTCTCTCTCTCTCTCTTTCTTTCTTTTTGCATATCATGGTCTGTTTTAAATTCAGTGCTTCTCTCCTGAAGGGTGACTTTCGGTTACTGTATCAGTGGATATATATATATTATGTCTACGTGTCTGCTTAATTTTGTATTAGGTATTCTTGGGAAATTTTGAGAGGTCTGTTAAGTAAAATAAATAAAGGAAGTAAGCCTTTGACCTTATTGAGGGAGGGGAGTTTTTCTTAGAGGGGAAATATCTCTGTAAAAGACAACCAGACAGAATATGTTCCTCGAGGACCTCGGTTTTCAGTTACCGTGGAATTTTTGGCTGATACGTTTAAAATCTCTGGTTCTCAGCAGTTGCTATTCTCTGAAGATCAAAGCCAGGCATCTAACAGAGGTACATGTGGACATGGGCAACACCTACCTAGGGGCGGATTTCTAACCCCTGTGTAGTCACTTGACTAGAAGAGGTTCTCAGTCATTCTGAGTCTGAGGATCAGTCATGCAGACGGGCTAAGTACACGTCTGGGTTTCACGCAAGCAGGTCAGGATTATTATCTGGAGACTGGCCTATGTCCCTTATTTACCTCTGACCAGCTCTGTGACCTAGCCCAGTTTTTTAATCCATTCATTAATCCATAGAGGGTTATATCTATACAGCTAAATGGAGCCTTTCAGCTATAGCATTTTTGACTCTACACTCATTTCAGCCCCAAAGCTTACAATCTGTGAGAAATGTATGACTCTATCTAGCTGGTTAAACAGTAGAGGGAAATAAAATTGGGTGAGTACAATTTGACCAACTCATGAGCAATCTTGGAAGCTAGATAAACCAGTTTAGACTTAATGTTGGCATTTCAGATCTTGAGCACAGAAATGACATGATAAAAGGGATATTTAAGAAGTACCTGAAACATAGGCATAAAGAATTAAAATGGCAATAAGCAAGGACCTATTGATAATAACCTTAAGGACTTTAAGGGAGAGATCAACAGCAATACAGTCATAGTCGTGGACTTTAACACCCCACTGACTTCACTGGATAGATCTTCCAGACAAAAAGTCAACACAGAAACAATGACTAAATGGCACACTAGAGCAGATGGATTTAATTGCTATTTACAGAACCTTTCACCCCAAAGGTGCAGAATATACATTCCTCTCAAGTGCACATGGGTCATTCTCAAAGAGAAACCACATGTTAGGACACAGATCAAGTCTCTACAAGTTTAAGAAGATTGAAATCATATCAAGCATCTCAGATCACAATGCCATGAAATTAGAAATCAACTACAGTAAAAACACTAAAAAATATTCAAACACATGGAGGCTAAATAACATGTTATTAAACAATGAATGGGTTACCAATAAGATCAGGAAAGAAATAAAAAACTTCCTGGAAACAAATGTAAATGAACACACAACAATGGGACGCAGTGAAAGCAGTCCTAAGAGGGAAGTTCATAGCACTACAGGCCTACCTCAAAAAGTAAGAAAATGTTTAGTAAACTATCTAACCCTACAACTTAAAGAATTAGAAAGCTCCCCTGTGAAGCTGTCCAGACCAGGGCTTTTGTTTGCTGGGAGTTTTTTTTTATCACTGCTTCGATTTCATCAGTTGTTATTGGCCTATTCAGGTTTTCTGATTCTTCCTGATTCAGTTTTACATGATCTCACTCATATGTGGAATCTAATAAACAAAATAGACTGAGGAACAAAATAGGTGCAGAAACATAGAAGCATGGAACAGACTGATGAATCTCAGTGGGAAAGCAGGGGTGGGGGAGTGGGTGGGGAGAGATTAATCAAAGAACTTATGTGCATATATTGTCTCTTATACACATCTAGNAAAATAGACTGAGGAACAAAATAGGTGCAGAAACATAGAAGCATGGAACAGACTGATGAATCTCAGTGGGAAAGCAGGGGTGGGGGAGTGGGTGGGGAGAGATTAATCAAAGAACTTATGTGCATATATGCACAACCCATGGACACAGACAATAGTGTGGTGAAGGCCAGGTTCGGGGGAGTGGATGCAGGTTGGAGGGGATCAGTGGGGGAAATAAAAGGGAGATATCTAATACTTTCAATAATAAAGATAAGTATATATATATGTATATATATACATATATATATAAGTATCTGGACTATATAGGAGAGTGATTGAAAGCAGGGAATGTAATTAATATTTGATAAACATGAAATCAGCAAATATTCTTTTATGGGAAGGAGAATTAAAGCCTTGCTTAGATGTTGTACATATGTGGTGTTATACTTTTTAAGTTGAATCCTGATCTCTTGTAACACAATTTGAATGCTATCGTTTGAATCAATAGAAATCAGAAAAGTTTTAAAGAATCACTGTGAGTATAATGTAAAATGTGTGTAGAATGGATGAAAGCAGGGGCAGCGATTTCAGAAATCGTCGTCCATGCACAGGTGTAATTAGAATCATTCTGCACATTTCATACAGCAGCTGCTGACATTCTTCATGACGTGGCCACATAAAGAGTGACAGGGTTCGTGAGGTACACTGCGGATGAAGTGACTGGCCCTTGGGGATGGGGGAGCAGTTGGGGACTCAGCCCCTGACTGACAGATGCCCAGGGACTGAGGGAGACTGATTCTCTGACGGCCGGGAGCTAGCTGAGTGTGCCAGCAGGGACGCTCTGCTCTGAGGAACAAGCCGAGGCCCAAGGATAAGAAAATGCTTTTCTCCTCAGGGCCCTGTCCCTAACCAAGGAAAGCAGGCAGCACCTGAGCGGTAGAAGGATGTGACTTTCAGCGTGGCCTTGTCCTCTGCGGCCGACCGCTCGCGCCTTCTGCATTTCACTGAAATCGCTGCGCTCTCCAGTTTCAGTTCCGTGTCAGCCTCTCGTTGCTCTTCCTCGTTGGAAGGTCATGCTCTCTGCCTGTTTCACCTTAAAATCCTATTATTCTTGTCTAGTACCCCAAAGGATTGGTCATCTTTTTAGGGGGCTTTTGCACCTGGCTCCTCCTTCGTGTCTGAATGATCCTGGGGCAGATGTGCACACGTCCATGTGATTCATCTTCATTTACAACAAACAGAACTCAGTTTTTTCTTTGGCTAACGTAATATCTACACTTAACTTAGCTCTCAGTGAGTGAACCAATGCTGTTTGTTTGTTTTTTGTTATAAGGTGAAGTGAGGGATTCTTAAAGCATAATTAGGGAAAATCCTTAAGTCTGGTAACTCACTACTGAAATCACACACAAAAAATACTGTAAGAATACATTAAGTGGTAACTTTATAAATGTTTTCTTTGCAGGTGGAAAAACTGGTGGATTCGGGGAATTCTTACTCTGACGATGATTTCATTGTTTTTCCTGATCATCTATATGGGATCTTTTATGCTGATGCTGCTTGTAAGTATTTACGTCTCCCTGAGTAGCTCTTGCTTTGTTTTCCAGCACTGTAGTAATTTGAGCATGTCATGAAAAAGGGGGCAATTTAACACTCGGCAACAGCAAATTTAGTTCCTTTAAGCATCTTGTAATTCATGAAATGAACGGAGCTCATCTTTTCTGTTTGCAAAGTGTCCGTTGAATGTGTTCAGCAGAGACCATGCACGTGGAATAGATTCATGTCCTTTCGTCAGACGTTGCGCCAAGCGTTAGGTAAAACAGAAACACACACACGTGACTTCAACATGCGTGACTGTTAGCTACATCCCTGACGGTCCGAAGGCTGATAGGAGTCTGTGTGGAGAAAGAGGGAACTTGGGGAAGGAGAGTCACAGCAGAGGGTTCCTGTGTACAAAAGCCTTGATAGCCAAAGCAGCACGAAGCATTTGAAGCCCAGAGTGGTGGCAGGGAGAAGTGCACTCGCTCAGCAGGTTCGCGGCTGGTGCCGAGCTCGGCGTAGCCGCGAGCGGGGGAGCCAGCTCTCGGGGCTGTGCGGTGCCCCTTTTATTGTTTTGCTTCATCCCATCTCGGTTAGTTTCGCCTCTCCTTATGTACTCACCTCCCTGTGTCCTGGGGACGTAGAATTCTCTTTACCCGTCTCACCTGCCTTCTCCCTCCTTGGTCGGTCCTATTCAGAGCACTGAGCGCTGGGCGATGTGATACGGTTTTCCTCTTACTCTATAAAAGGATACCTTTTGAAATGAGATTAGATACGACTGGGGGGAAAATTCTATCAACCCCTGAAGCCACTTGAAGTAGCTCTTCTGAGCACCATAAAGCCCTATCACTTTTCTTTTTGTCTTCTCCTTAATTTTGTACTTCCTTGGGGATATCAAGGTCACAAAAGTGAGTAAGAAATTGAAGAGGTGTTTTTGTTTTGTTTTTATACAAAGAATAATGAATAATGGATAGGACAGATTTAATGTGAGGGCAGAAGGTGCTGAGTCTGAAAGCCCGGTAGGCAGGGTGAGCGTTGTCCAGGGGTGACTGGAAAGAAGCGCCCCGGCTCCCAGTCTTCCCGGCCTGAACCCGCCGAGGGCTACGGGTGCCAGATGACCAGCACAGCCTCGGGACTTGGGCAGTGAAGGGTGAGTGTGTGCAGAGCACTTCTCAGTGCTGTGTGGCGAGTGGCTGAGCCTGGAAGAAGGGATTGCATGGTGCAGACAGCTCATAAGGCTTGTGTACTAAGGGACTTTGAGTGGACCTTGAGGCTCTATCAGCGTGGAGTCAGTGCGTGCTGTGAGCAAAGGCCCTCACCGCGGGCGTGTCAGGGAAAAGCAGGCGGTGCCCTTCTAGAGCACAGGGCCTTTGAACCTGAAAGAATGATTAGGGACCGGATTCTGGAGGACCTTGCAACACTGTGTGAAGTTTGGGGCTTATCTGTAAAGCCTTAAGGAGCCATTAAAAATCCTGGGGATTATTTGAGTTCTGATTGTCCTTTAGAAGATAATTTTGACTGAGACATTGCAAAGCACCTGTATCCTTGATATACTGACTCCGTGGGCTCCCTGAGAATAAGTGACATGGTTTCTGAGCTAAACAGTCGGTACAGTGAATAGGACCAGACTCGGTAGACAGAGACTGATTTTTAACCACTCCTTTATGACAGAATTCAAAACACGTTTAAAGACATCCTTGCATATTTGGATTCTGATTTTTTTAAAAAGAGAATCATAAACATACCTAAAGCACTTGGGCTTTGTTACTCATTTTTTTCCAACTCTGAAAGGAAAATACAGTTTTATTACAAGTTATTTCTTTGGTGAGCTTAATCAGAGAAGAATATAAGTAGATCTAGTTAAAGTAGATTCGAACTGTTTTGCTGTTATCTAGGTTTATTGCATATGCGTGCATACCCGTGTCTGCACACAGGTACACATATATACATACATAGGCTGTGTTTATGATATTATATTAAGGGAATATAGATATACACGTAGACACACATACTGTTGGTACTCAATTGATAATACTTCTATGTGTTTTAAAGTCTTATTTCCATTCATATCTCTAACTAGGTCATTTATATTTTGAGTCATATATATTGTTATCTAGCTTGCATTTGCCTAATAATATCAGCCCTTAAAAATGACAAATTCAAGAGAAGTTTATTAAAAACTTACTTCTAGGAAATAACTACTGTTTTAAGATGGAACTCATACCCATGTTCCTTAAAATGAGCTTTTTCCTTCAAACTTCTATGCATAGTACTTTGATTGTTGCAGGCGCAGCTTGGAATCACTTTCTAAATGATGGATTTACTAAAGCTTATTTAGATTTAAAGGCAGATGTGGGCATAGAGAAGATATTGTAAGAGTCCCTTCCCCCACCTTCTTGGAAACTCTTACAATAATTATTTTAATCTACATTATATAATTTACTCTTTTTTTTTTTTCCTAATCCTCACTCAAGGATATTCTTTCCATTGCTTTTCAGAGAGTGGAAGGGAGAGAGAGAGAAACACTGATGTGAGAGAGACACATCGATTGGTTGCCTCCCGCGCGCACCCCAGCCGGGGCCGGGAATCGAGCTGCAACTGAGGCACGTGCCCGTGGCCGGAATCAGTCCCCGGGCCCTTCAGGCCGACTCTCCGACGCTGAGCCAAACCAGCCAGGGCTATAATTTACTTTTTAATAGTATATTTAATTTTTCCCCCATTGTGAGAATTATAAAAGTATATTAAAGTTACGTTGGAAAGTAGATAATTTAAAAGTATCACCTCAACCCAATCATCAACCACCAAAGCCCAATTAATACTGCCATTCGACATGCTTCCTTTAATCCTTCCTTCCTTTTGTGTTTTAAAAACCATGGTTGTAGTCACGATGTGACTGAAGTTTTGTATCCTGCTTTGTAAACCGACTATCTTATCAAATGTTTCGTGTTGCCACAGTTTTTACAGCCATCAGCTTTTTAATGCATTGGCCTGCTCGATGGGATGGAGTGCCTCATACGTTATTAAACGATTGTGTTATTTCTAGACACTCAGGCTATGTTCTGGCTTTTCTTTATTGTGAATAACACTATGCTAAATATATTAGAATGTAAAGCTTTTTCTTATGCAGAATTGTTTTCGTTGAATAGATTCCCAAAGTGACCCCATGGGTACCACAGCTCAGACTGAACATGGGCAGACCTGAACTTCTGTTCCAGCCCCAGCCATCCTGCATGAATCTGTTTCCCAAGCCTTCCCTGGTGTAATTCTTTGTTCCCGGGACTCTCTCCCTTAGCCCCCCATTTGCCCCAACCACCAAATCCTGTTAGCTCTACCCCGCGACGTCTCTTATTCCTGAACTCCGCCCATCTGCCACTGTCCCAGGCGGACGTTCATCCGCGCTCCCCTGGACGGCGGTGTCCTGCCCGCCTTGCTGTCTGTCTCTGCCTTTGCCGCCTCTGCAGGTAGTTCTTTCTGCCTCTGTTGTCTTCTGACGCCCCCGCCCGATCATGCCCTTTCACGACCAGCACAAACTCCTTTGTGCCGTCTTTTGTGCTCTTTCCTGATTCTGTGACCCGGTTTGTCTCTCTCTGCTTCTCACCCCCCACCTCCGTGTTCCAGCAACCCTGACCACGTGCCTTGTCCTCTCCTACAGGCGTAACTCTGTGTCCCCCGCTTTGCCCCGACTGTGGCCCACCCCCACCCCCTTCCACAGTTTTTTTTGCCTGCCTGTGCTTGTTTATATCCATGTGACTATTTCCACATGGTATTAGTGGTCGCGTGTGTCCTCCGCGACAGACAGTGCCTCTGTGAGAACAGACGTCCTATGTGATTTCTCTGAATCGTCAGTAACTGGCAGAACAGGCATTTCCATACTGGTGGTTGTTTTTAGGGCCCTTAACACATTAATTGGGCCAACAGAGTTCTGCCCATGAGCATTGCTCCCAGCATTGATGGTGCGGAGTATCAGTTTCTGTGTGATCACCCAGCCCTGGAAGACACGCGTATATTTTAAGGATTTTAACTCTAGTGTTTGAGTCCTGTGTTCCATATTAATGTTCCCAGCAGTTCCGTATTAATTCTACTGGCAAGCTGTAACTGACAATCGTAGGAATATATGTGTGTGCTATTGGCATTACTCCTCTCCATAAAATACCTTAACTGTAGTGCTAATGATGCCATGAGCGAATGTGTTCATGGACATTGCATCCGTGTGTTTGGTATCTTAAAAGCCCTGGGTTCTACAGATAGCACGGCTTTGCCACTTTATCTTAACATCTAGCATTGTCCCTTCTGTGATTATTTTTGTCTAAAAATGACTTCGTGTGTTATGTACAAAGGTTATTCGAAGGACAGTATTTAAATTTCCTCTTGTCTTTATAACATACATTTATGACTTGTTCCTAGAAGAACGCCTTATAGGAGTTTGGCGTAATCATTTCTCACCGTGTGGCTGAGGGGACATTACTTTTTTAAGTATGTGACTGAACATGTAGTAAATAGAGTAGGAAAAAATAGTTTAAGAATATCCTGAGCAGTAGGTTTGAGAAAGCTAAGCTGTGGATATCACACAAGAAATCCCAAAGTATTTCCTTGGGCAGAGCTTGGTACACTTGTTCTGCAAAGGACCAGATAGTAATATTTTGGTCTTTAAGAAGCCACATATGTCTCTGTGACATAATCTTTGATTTTTGTTTTTAACTCTTCAAAAGTATAAAACCCATTCTTAGCTCCAGGCCTGTTCATAAAGCCCTTTGGTTTACTCTTAAGAGGTTGAAAAAGTTAGTCTGCTGTATGCACAGAGATGTTAATCTCTTCGTTGATGGGAATAAGTGTTCAACTCGCCATTTGCTCTTTGAGTCTTGGAATTGACTTAGGCCAAGCACTGTATATGCTCAGGAATTACCTTTACCCGGAACGGTGGATGCAGCAGTTTGAAGGACCACTGCATAGACCATCACAAAGAGATTCATACATATAAACTCATTTACTAGGTATGCAGACAGCACGGCATAGACTCAATTGAGTGGCCCAAGTGGCTGTAAGTGTAGAGAGCTGTTCATCATTTGCCAAGGGAGCAACGCTTGGATTGGTCAGAGATGCGCGTCGCTGGCTGTGGGAGGCTCGGCACCGCTGGGAGAATGAAAAGACCGTGCCCAGAGCCCTGGATGCCTGGGAAAGGTGTCTCAGCCGTTGGTCCTGACAGTACCTTTATCTGTGGCAACTATTCCAGAGTGTATGGTTCAACATAAATATAATCAAGCGAACTTTCATATATGATCATTTTCCTAGGCTAACTGAAGAAACAAAATGGACAAAAAGATTGTTCATCTTGAGACGGACGACCTCAAGAAATGAAGTTGTAAAACCTAGTTACCTGTGACCCACCAGGTCATGTCCCTCCAACTGGAAACTATACTATCACCTCCCACCCCAGGAAGGATCTCTCTATAAAACCTTGTTTTGCTCACCCCACGGGACATCACTTGAGTTTAGAGACGTCAAGTATTGAATTTTTGCTACTGACATTTAGAATAATTAAAAATGAATAGGCTAAAATACACATGACAATAAGCTACTTATTAAATGATGAAGCACAAATGTAAACACTGAGAAATGTATGTCAGTCAGTGTTTTCTCTTGGTTTCAGGTTCTGGGCATCCAAGTGAAATGCTTCCATGAAATTATCACCATAGGTTACAGAGTCTATCGTTCCTACGACCTGCCATGGTTCAGAACACTCAGCTGGTAAGTGACTTGGAGCCCTCAGATATGAAAGTCTGACTCTCTTATCAAGCTTGTGAGGGAGGCATTCTGATCTGTTAGTATCCACAGAGTTGATGTTATAGATTGATTCTGGAGAAAGATAAGTTTTTAAAATGCAATTGAATTTTGAAAAGAGGAAAATCACCTTCAGCTTTCTCATTCCAACACAACAATTTTCATAGCTCATCTTTCACTCTTTGTAGAGATATCTAATTTATGTACAATGTATACACCATTCTTGTCCTGTTTAAAAAAACAAGCCTCAATATTGGACACACTTTATATGCTTTATAATTACAATTTTAGCATAAGATTCATTTTGTGAAATGTTGCAAATGTGTAATCTTTTGCTTTTTCCCCCCTCAGTTGAGTTGATCAATGGTTTATTCAAGGGGGAAAGTCCAAGCTGAACGTCTGTCTCCCATCTCTGCCCCTTCAATCTGCCCCACCCTCTCCATAGGCCCAGGGTGGGGAGGGGCAGTGGGAGGAGAGGGTGACCCCACCTTTGTTGCTCTGGTTTGGTCTCCTCTCCAGGCTTCGGGCCCCATGACATGCAACCTGAAGGATAGGCAGGCAGGGCGGGCATGCGGAAGACTCTGATGCAGTGTGTAAGGCCCCCTTGTAAATAGCACTGGCTAACTTACCAGCCCATGAAATATTGTATGTGCACAAATGCAATTTAAAAATTAGTAACATAAAATATCCAGGGGCAATCCTTAGTTATCAAGACCCTGACCAGGAAACATGGTACTATGATAGTTCATGAGTAACCTACTTGGTCAGGCCTTTGAACATAGTTGTTTGATTAGTATCAGCCAGAGGGGCCAGCATCTTATTAAAACAAATGTATCACCTTTGAGGTTCAGAATAGTGAAAAAATGGTTTCTTGGTTTTGGTAATAGCTGATTTTTCTCCCTGAGTGTCAGAGTGCACAGGAAAAGTTAGGTGGATGAAGTAGTGGGAGAATAATTAAATGTGAAACCTTGCAGGATTGATTCTAAGTTAGGGAAGAGGGTAGGTCAGGGTAGGCTCCAGTGATTGTAGGTGACTCACGGAGAGGGTGAGAGAGAACCTGTTGGCTCCTGAGAGAGAGGGGTGTTCTGGTTGGCATGTTCGAGGTGTGGGAGTGAGGAGGCGTGTGCCCCAGATGGTGACGTTCCTGTCCCCATGAGCAGAGGGTATTTATTCAGGAAGAGTGGGCAGATGGTTGTCCGGGGGGGCGGGAGTAGGCCTTGATAGCCTCCTAGAGGAGTCGAAGACAGTTTCCAATGTAGGGGAATGGAAAAACGGTAGCACAGCTGATAGACATGAGAATGCTTGCCCTTTACTCTTTGAGAACTGTAGGGCCGAATTCCACCTGTGAGATCCAGAGGGAAGCCACCCCTTTCCTTTCCTGCTCTCCAGGCCACCTACCACTGTGCCCTTCAGAGGGTGGGGCACTTACTGGGAACCCTAAGGCAGTGTTTCCCAGCCTTTTCCCCTGCCTCACACAAGCTCCCATCAGCAAAATCTCATGGGTTCAACCTTTCCCTGGGGGAAAAGATATACTAGACCTTGGAGGAGGGACGGAAGTTATATAGTTTTTGAAAGTTTCTACTGGAGATTTTTACCTGCTGCTAGCTCCCATCCCCACTGCTACCCCTTAAAAATCGCTGCTCCACAGGAGTCCATCTGGAACATTGAGGAGAGGGAGGAAGATGCCAGCATGTGTGGGGCAGGTGGGAATTTGGCTTAGGATCTCTACTATTAAAAAGCATGAGCTGTGAGTAATTAGAGGAAAGACGGAGCGAAGGAGAGAGGTGGGGGGGAGAGGTTGAAAGTATTTTCTATATTTCCTAATTATCTGTCTCCAGCATGAGATTTTGAGCTAAGTAAAGGTATAAATTATATTCAATAAACTTTTGTTGACAGGTAATTTTGAAATTAAGTTTAAAACAGGATAAAAGCATTTTGGGGGCCTGTATCCTGAACTGGTCTTCTGAACTTGGTTTTGATCTTTGTATCTTCATCAAAATGTAGAGTATAGTTTTATGGAATTTGAAGGGGAAATGCTTCAAATATAAAAAAGCTAACTAACTTTTTAAATTACAGGTACTTTCTACTCTGTGTAAACTATTTTTTCTATGGAGAGACTGTAGCTGATTATTTTGCTACATTTGTTCAAAGAGAAGAGCAGCTTCAGTTCCTCATTCGCTACCATAGATTTATATCATTTGCTCTGTATCTGGCAGGTAAGTTAAAGGAAACATTCTCTATTGATATGTAGCTGATATATTTCACATGTTTATTTTTATTTATGTTACTTAAATTCATAACATCCTTTATTTGTTATATTTTAATCCAGCTTTTTTAAAAAAAAAAATTATCTTCATTGTTGAAAGTATTAGAGATATCACCCCTTTTTTTCCTTCATTAATCCCCTCCACCCCACATCTGCCCCCCACCGGCTTTTACCACACTATTGCCTGTGTCCATGGGTTATGCATATATGCACATAAGTTCTTTGATTAGTCTCTCCCCACCCACTCCCCAACCCCTGCCTTCCCATGGAGATTCATCAGTCTGTTCCATGCTTCTATCCCTCTGCACCTATTCTGTTCCTCAGTCTGTTTTATTAGATTCCATATATGAGTGAGATTATGTAAAAGTGAATTGTGAAGAATCAGAAAACCTGAATAGGCCAATAGCAACTGATGAAATCGAAGCAGTAATAAAAAAAAAAACTCCCAGCAAACAAAAGCCCTGGTCTGGACAGCTTCACAGGGGAGCTTTTTAATTCTTTAAGCTGTAGGGTTAGATAGTTTACTAAACATTTTCTTACTTTTTAAGGTAGGCCTGTAGTGCTATGAACTTCCCTTTTAGGACTGCTTTTGCTGTGTCCCATAGATTTTGGGTTGTTGTGTGCTCATTTTCATTTGTTTCCAGGACATTTTTTATTTCTTTCCTGACCTTATTGGTAACCCATTCATTGTTTTATAATATGTAATTTAGCCTCCATGTGTTTGAATGTTTTTGAGTGCTTTTACTGTAGTTGATTTCTAATTTCATACCCTTGTGATCTGAGATGCTTGATATGATTTCAATCTTCTTAAACTTGTAGAGACTTGTTTTGTGTTCTAACATATGGTCTTTCTTTGAGAATGACCCATGTGCACTTGAGAGGAATGTATATTCTGCACTTTTGGGGTGAAAGGTTCTGTAAATAGCCATTAAATCCATTTGATCTAATGTGCCATTTAGAGTCACTATTTCTGTGTAGACTTTTTGTCTGGAAGATCTATCCAGTGAAGTCAGTGGAGTGTTAAAGACCATGACTAGGACTGTGTTACTATTGATCTCTCCCTTAAAGTCCTTAAGGTTATTATCGATAGGTCCTTATTTATTGCCATTTTAATTCTTTATGCCTATGTTTTTCTCTCTGTTTCTTATTATTATTACAGCAGTCCCTTTAACATTTCTTGCAGTGCTTCTATTTCTACTTCTAATTACAGTAGTCACTTTAACATTTCCTGCAATGCTGGTTTTGTAGTGATAAACTCCTTTAGCCTTTT